AATTACTTAAAAAATAGATAACAATTATTACATTCAGTTGATCTAAAGGGAAATGTGGCCTGGAGAGACACACCTAAGGGCAGAAAATAATTCCATGCCAAAATTGATCCCCTTCACTTCTACTAAAGTTCTGTCACTATCTGTATTCATACCTCTATCCATCTATATGATCTCTTTGTTGCCTGCCTGTCTTCTAGATTATTGTAATTAAAATCTACCCTCTATTAAAATTTACAATAAAAATGTACTCTTAATGAAACATAATGGTAGATTATAATCACTCCGTAAGTAGTATATACATACCCATATACTGACAAATGCAAAGTAGTATTACCTCTGAGATATTTGGAAATGCTGATATATTTATAGTACCACAAACATTCTGAACACACATAGATATAAAGGGGCAAGCCCTTAGAATCTTTTGGAGGTAGGTAAGCATCTTCATTCAAAATGCTGAGGATAAAATGAGAAGGCAAAGCCTGGCAGTAAACATTCAAATACATATATAAATATCTCCTTCGAAATTCCTTCCTGCCATATTGCACAGTTCAAATTAGTGAAAAGAAGGTTCTTACTGCACAGGATATTTTTTCAAGCTACTGAAACCTATATGTACACATCATTTCTATGATCTAAAAATCAGGTACATTTTATAAAACTTTTGCCTTTATAAAGCACGCTCTTTTTATAGGAGCTGTATTGTATAGGATTATCAGTTTTTAAGACTTGGACTGTACTTCCAGTTTTTAACCTAATCCTTCTGTATATTCTCATCATGTGCTTCTTTCTACTCTGAGTAAGAATGCAGTGAAAACCTGGGGAATCACATTTTTTTTGCATACTTTAAAGTTGTGTTTCAGCTTTTTAATAAACTATCTAAAATCTAAACACTGTTGAAATCGACTTATTGACAATCAGTTCTGGGTGGTTTTTTTTTGCTTTATTTCCAAAATGCAAACATGTTTCTGCTCTCAGATGAAGTATTTGCCAGTGTGTCAAGTACTCTTTCTTCCTCATGAAATTAAAAAACAAAAAAGTCTTCATAACCCGATTCTTTAAAGTTCTGTATAAACTTGAGTTTTTGGACGTCTGGGGGTCAGGAAAGTTCACTTGATTTATTGGCTTCCCATTTAGTTAACCTGGTATGGCTGAAATTCCTCAGAGTTTCAAAGCCACCCTGTCGTGTGTGATCTTTTTAATGGTTCAGCCTGGTTAACAAATACTATTTCCGCATCGTGCATCCCTGTCTATAGGAGAAGCCAAAGCTTTTCATTCAAGCTCTGGAAAGTTTCCTCCTCATTTGCAGGTGGTGGTGTAAACAGGGAAGAAGATTAGGGGTGTGTCCTGGGCCAAGTCATTCCTCAGGGCCCCTCCTCTTCTGTCTGTGACAAAGGAATGATAAGAGAAGACTAGGAGACTCCAGGAGAGTTGATGTGAGAGGATGTGCACCAGGGCAGTGTGAGTAGGGAAGAGGAAACAGTGATGGAGAAAGTAGAATGAAGGAATATTGGGAAATGTGGTGAGAAAAATAGGCACGACCAAAAAGAGGCCCTGTAGCCTCTGTAGACACAGCTCGTTTGTTTTCCCCTTGACAAGGTATTAGGAATAAACATGAATTAGGTCAATTAGAAGTATCCCTGATCTTAAAAAGGAAAGAAAGAGGAGGAAAACCCCTCTCCTTTATAACCCCCGCCCTTATTATTTTGATCCAAGGCCTCAAGAAAGGATTATGACACAGCAGCCTGGCTTTTTATAAGTGCATCATCTTTTCTTATATAAATATTAAGTACGTTTGGCTTTTGGGTGTCACACAATTAGCAAATTAGTCGTTCCCTAACAGTATTCATCTAGGTTTTATAACACTTTGCCTACCTTAATTTTAGAGTATTACATGCAAGGGGGAAAAATTGCCTTCTTTTTTATTGCACTCATTGTAATCCCTTCTCTTAATGCTAGGCTCTGGATTTACAGTGGCAGTTAGTTCTGTCATCAGAATATCAGCACTTTGAATGGAATTTTGAAAATTACAAAGACTACACCAGCATTATAGCAGAATCGATGGTTCTCTCTATACGATAAATGCACTCTCATTTTGAAGCTTATGCATTTCCTTTAATATAGCCCACCTTTCAATTCAATTCAATTCATTGCCTTTATTACAACTATGAGATGGGAATTAGAAACTTCCTCCAAGATTTCAAATCTTTTGTGCGTGATATTTGTGAGAAAGAGAAGAACTTTTTACTGTTCTTTTATATATGAGATTTAGTGAATTAGCTAATGTTCTAAGAGGTAAAACAAACTGTTCATTAGCACTTATATGTGCAAGTACGAAATACAATATTCATGTCCAAGAGAATCTAGAGGTATAATGGAGGGCTCTTAATTCCATGTTTAAGGTATCCTCATTCTTTCTAACATGGTATTCTTCCAAAATGCAATATTCCAAGTATGACATTCAGAGAGGCCCAGATGCAGTGTTGCATCTCTCTAGAACAGCCATGTTGAAAATTTGCCAAAGGACTGTCATCTTTGTAGACTTTGACTAATGAATCTTGGGGTATTTGAAACTGAAGCAGAGGCCATTTTATTTTCATCCATTTCTTCTAGATTTTCATGATTCGCCCATTGGAAAAAAAAATATCCCCCAGCAAATCCAAGAGCAGGTAGTCCTGCTCTACCAGATAGAGTCACCCTCTATTTGCTAATGGCTAGGGGGTACTCAAGAGTGGCAGTGGGTGCCATTCCTGGAGGACTGGAGGGGCGACTTGAACATAATCTGTAGTGCTTTGTCTATCACCCCGTTGAAAGATTTGTACAATGTAATTTCATTTTTTGAGTTGAGTATTTAGCTCTTTGAATCACCATGCATTGGTAATGAGACCTTGAACAAGGTCCTTGTCTTAGAGAGGAGCTGGCACTGTATAAAATAGTCATATAAGTTCATGCATTTCCATCTGTTTCTCCAAATATGGGTGTTTCTTTACTCATCAAGTTATTAATCCTCTACTTAATATCACACTCAAGCTGAAACCTAATTATACAAGTCCAGAACCACAGCATAATATTATGAAGACAAGTGCATATATTACTTAAAGTTCTGGTAATAGCTTTAAAGGTTTATATAACTTGGAATCACCATTTTGAATATTATTGGTAAAATTATGAAAAGCTGTTCTAGGATCAAAACACAATGGCATGTTGATTTCATAGTAAAATGCGATCTTGCAATTGTAATTAGTGTCTATCTCAAGAACTATGGGTCATTATATAGTTTAATTCAATTACTTGATTAAATAGAGATAATCCTTTGTAGGTATCGGCTAATCTAATTCATGGCAATTTACATGGGCTAGACTTATTAAAGATATATAGTAAGAAATATTTTATTTAACATATATTTTTGCTAGCTTTAGAACTTAAAGATCATAATTTACTCTGCTCTGGCAGCACACACATACACACACACACACACACACACACACACCCTGTGGTTAGTTTATTCCTTGCTACTTTTACAATCAGTTACTGCTTTGGTGAAAGCCTAAAGCTTAATCCATTAAGAGCCATTCAGAACAAAACAAACAAACAAAGCTTTAACCACTTCAGTGACAACAGTGCAGAACCAACAAGCAGCCTTCTTCGAAAACCCTAGCAATTTTAGGATCAATAGCCTCATACTGGATGCTTCTAAGTGATAAAAGCTAGAACATTTGTGCTGCCAGGTTTTAGAGAATAAAACAAAACACAAAAGTGTCTGGGGAAAGATAATTTGGTAAGTTTAGTTTGGAAATACCCATGTAGTGCAAAGGGCGGACTTACGTCCTATCAACAGTCATGATGAAAACAAGCTAATTTAAATATCACCTTGCACTGAAAATTTTACCTGTGTGTCCTGAGGGTTGAAACTTAAAATACATTTTAGTCTTTATCCAAGTTCTGCTACTTGCAGCTTTACTATTACTATTTCTAATTAATGTAAGTGAAATCCTTGGTATATCTACATTCACATCTATTTTTTTTGAAAATAAATCTTATGTAATATCTCTATATTAAAGTATTTAGAAGAATGTTAGAGTCCACTTGATTCAAGGGTACAGTTTTAACAATAAAACTAACAAATACATTTATATATGAGAAGAGCAGAAACATACATTTTTTCCCACAAGATTAAAAGCCTGCTCATTTCCTTTTAGAATTATTTCATTGTATATTATCCTTTGTGAAAAACCCATTAACTTCTTTTATACATCCTCAAGTCTTAAATAATACCCCAGTGCTGCAGAATCTGTTCCATGGAAAAAAATCTACTGTCATTCCATAAAATAAAAAAGGCCTCCTACATCATTACATTATCCTTTTCAGTTTTACAAAACAATTTCACAATACTGTATCTCCTGTAGCAATAGTTTTTTAAATGCCTTTACGTTTATACTTAATTATAAACTCAGTAATGAAATAGGAGTATTATTTATTATTATTTCAAAATGTCAACTGGTTAGACTTTACCCACAAATTATCTGGAGGCATTAAATTATATACCTTCATAGGTAGTCAGCAGACACTTGGGATTGCCTGCAGTATGTTTACAAGCTAATTTGTTTACTGAATATTGTCTACTCGTTTACATTTCTGCTTTTTTTTTTTAAAGCAGATCCTTACTGAAGATATGCTTAATATGAGGAATTTATGAAAGAAATCTTTTTTAGTTTTAAAAACTAGCATCAAATCAAAACAATCTCTTTGCTGAAATGTTATCAAATAACATTGACCATCAACATTTTACAGACTGAAGAAATAAATTACCCTGCAATACCATTAAAATGCATGATTTTCTTGTGTGTCAGGAATGCTGTGCAGTTTTGTCTGGATTCATTAAGGCGCTCCCTGCATAAGTGCGTTGCCAACAGGGATGTGGGTGGCTGTAATGGCAGCCTGTAGGTTTGTATGGAAAACAAGTATGGCACAGTGAAAAAAATCCTTCTCTCACCCTACAGGTACCTGTACGGAGAGCTTGGGAGGCATTTCCATAGGCTCATTGTCAAGTGAAAGCTAAAGCCCCCACTCACTGGGAAGCAAAGGTAAGTCTGAAAAACCGCATTGAAGAAACAGGAGAGGGGGTGGGGGTGGGGATGAAATCACCTAGCATTGAAGCAGCCTAACCAAGTGACAGACACGTAGACAACTCTCATGCTGCCAGAACAACACTCTGCACAGCCCACCAGCAAGCGATTTGTCACTGCGACAAGAATATCCTCCGCAATTTGGCATCAGGGTCCTTGGACAGCCAACTGTGCCTGTACAGCACGAGACGTGTTATTCGGCAACGGGAAAGATGGGAACCAAGGTTCTCGTTATGTCCAAACATGTGATTTTATGAAAAACATATCTTTTGTCATGATCAACACAGAGATGGAGCAGTAGTAATTGATAATAACTGGGGACAAATCAGACAACAAATTGAGAAAAGTATATTCTTGTATGTTTTTGAGGTACCCTGTGTGTTGAGAAGATTTCAGGATGCTCGCTCTGTTTGTCTGCTATTTTATGGCACACTCCCACAGTGTTTCATAGAAATAATGAATCCATAGGTGCAAGAATGAACGGGGAAGATTTTTTTGGTAGTAAACCATTTGCTTTTAGCAGAACATACTCTTTGCTTTGTTTTAGACTTTATGTGTTTGTGTATTGTGTGTTGATTAATATGTCGCTAAGTGCAGATCCTTTCTTACTGTCCTGATTTGAAATAAGACAAAGAATTCAAGGTAAGTTGGGTTATAAATGTGCAAAGGAAAGACCCTCTACTCTTTACATTGCTACTCTGGTAATCTATTATAAAAGTGCAGTAAAGGAGAGAAGCCAGGGGCATAGGATAAAGGTATCTGATAAATAAGCAAGTAGTGTTCCCCTTGCCAATTACTTGGCATCTTACTTTGTAATTAATGCCACAGTAATGAAAAAAGTGGTAGGCACGAAGATTGGGCCTTTTGTGCATTCTATACAGAATCAAACACTCATAAAAATCTAGCTCAAAGCTAGCCTAGTTTGGCTCTCTCCACAATCAAACTTGCTAGAGAATTAGAACAATCCCATAGGGGGTGTGTGTGTGTGTGTGTGTGTGTGTGTGTGTGTATTGCAATGTATTATATAAGAGTGACATCAGGCAATTGTGGTATTGCTGTCTCTATCACACAGACAAGAGTGTCCTTCATTCCCCAGACATGATAGAAACTTCTACCCATTCTGCCAGTATCTAACATCATGGTATCTATTATGTTGTTCACTAGTTGTCCTATGAAACACTTTAGCTAACTGCTACTGAAGTGGCTATGATAACTGCCTTGCAATGCCTGGTGCATTTCCCAGTAGCTTATAAATTTGTGCTTTATGGGAACTTTCAGGAAATACTAAAACTACTTAAAAAGTCAATAATAAGTGAAAGTGACAGTGCTAACAGGCATTTTTTTAAGAAGTAGACAAGAATATAGTTTAGGCAATTTTGATATCATTTGAAATACAGTACAAATTTCAAAAATACCCAGTTAATATTATAATAATTCTTCAAACATGAAAAATATATTTTTTTTCTAGCTATATGTATGAACCAGATATTGGATGGTTTGGATTTGGGGGGTTGGAGAAAGAGATGTTTAACTGTGAGACTTTGGAAATGGTATTAGGAATAGAGTATGTTGAGTAGCTATGTACACAAATGACTAAATGAAATGACTCAGATTTATATCCTTTTAGGGGTAAAACACAAAGGGGAGAACAGGGAGGAATGTGAAGAGAGAAGGTTCAAGGCTGGAGGGTACAAAATACAGTGGAGATCATAAAGAAAACTAACCCCTACTTTTCTAAGCTTTGCATGAGGTGTTTTCCTTGCAATTCCCATTTAAGTCAATGGGAATCATGCAGCTAAAACCCTGTGTAACTCTTTGACAATTTACTTCCTAGTGTCTGGAAAAAGAGTACTACCTACTAAGGGCAATTTACTCATTTTAGTTTGTGCCTTCCATACAAAGATGAATTTGATAGCATATAGCAGGAGGAAAAGAGAGACTGCATTTAAGATTTTATTGCAAAAGAAATCATCACTGAAAAATGTCGCCTAAACTCTTACCTTGTTTAGCAACAACAATAAACAGAGAAAAGCAATCCAGTGAAAGAATATGAAAAGAAGTGTGGACTTGATTACAGGAAAAATGGTGATTGCTATATGAGGTTTTTTTTTTCCCCCCATTTTAAATTCTCAAGCTCTGAACACAATTGCAGGATAATAAGAATAGAGGACAATTCTTAAGACACCAAATTGAAGCTCTTGATTACTTGCTTTTTCCCATGTACCTCAAGTTGTACATATGTAAATATAGCTAGGGTAGCCTTACAAAATCTTTAATAATACAAATACAGTGTGTTGGGGGGGCTACCATAGCTTGTAGTTATGGGTAGAAATATAGGTAAAATGACAGATATTTATCCTGCTGTAAGCAATAACTAAATAAATGTATTGTATCCTCTATATAATATTATTTTTGAAAGCTATAGACTGTGCATGTTAAAAAGTACATGCTATTTATAATCTCTTTCATGAACTTGGAAACAGAAAACTAACACTGGCTTTCAGAGTCTTTATTTTTATTATAAGGCTCTGTATTTCTTTACTCTCAAGTGAAATGTCTATTTAGGTGCTTTACTGATATAATTCTTATAACTGTACAACCATATAATAAGCTTATGTGGGCTGAAGATACAGCTCTTGTGTTTTCTGAGTCTCTTCTCTGTGATTTGTTTTCTGACTTTTCCTTTGGAGGGTGAAGAAATAAGACACTACATGGCTCTGCTTTTTAGTGCATGGATCAGAGACACACCTATGAACAACTGCCTACGCAAGTTGATTACTGGGCAATATAATTTCTCAGTTTTTATGGGTAAATGAGTGCTTCTCGCCATGGACCTAGCTTGTGCATCAATTTAGGTAAGCATACTGCTGCAGCAGCCTTGAAACTATTGCTCTCTGATTGTACCAATTAACAAATCCTGAACTTTACCACCAGGAAAAGACATAGCTCCCCATTTGTGAATGCCTGGCTTTTGAGAATTAGAGTAATTATGTCACCAAACCTACCATTGATTTTCAGATAGACATCTCAATAATTTTGTAAGAGTAAAAACCTTTCCAAAAGCACACTGATATTTTTATAGCAGAAATAATACATAGGGATGAATACAGTGATTTGATATGTGAGAACGTTTAAGAGAGAGAGAGAGATACTTTACTTGAACAGAATTTAGATATGTTTCTGGGCTGAGTCTTTGATTATAAATTTCATGTTGGAGGGTTTTGACTGTGTGAGAACTTCTGAAATCTGATTTCCTTGGAGAAGGGTGTTGAGAATTCACAAAATAATAAAAAGCATGTGCTGTTATTAAAGTAGATTATGGTACTATTGTAAAATCATAGACAATGATAAATTTAAGACATTAAAATTCTCTAAGTTGTAATTTTAAAACTCACAGCTGGTTCTTACATCCCAGGCCACTCATCGTTTGTGACCAGATCACATATCCTTAACCAAATACACATTAAAAGATTTCTGTTCACAAATTAAACCTGAATTGAATTTAGCACACAAAGCTCTTTAGTTATCCATTAAGGTTTTGTTTTTAATTTTTTTCTTCTTACAGTGTTTTTATAACCAGCAAGAATAAGTTAGTAACAGTATTTAAGGCAAAATAAAGTCAAGTATTACAATGGCAATGTCGTTCACAATGTTACAGAAACTTGTTTTCCTCCTATATTATAGTGACATTGTTTCATTTTGGGCAAGAAACTGAATAATCATTAATACATTCCATGGAATCATATATGTATAGGATTATATATTCTAGATCTCTCATTTTACGAATTATCTTTGCCATGATCTGAATGAATAAAGTATTTTAATTCAAAACTAATCTCTGTTTACTTCAGGCTGGTTTTGCTAGAAATTTACTATGAATCAATGTTTGAAAGCACTGATGTTTAAGACAACTTTCAGTACTCACTTTTCTTTGTATCTCCCTCCACGTAGTTAAGAAATTATTGTGACTTTGAAATGACATCTATGCAGTCATTTTGTAGTATGTAGGAGGGGAAGACATACAGAAATAATATATTTTCCCTTGCAATATCTCAAAATCATGCATTTAGTTTCCAGAATACACATACACACACACACACACACACACACATACACACACAGAGTCTGTTTTTCTTTTAGCTCAATAAGCACATTTTGTATATATTTGCCCTGAAACATTTTCCCTGTCCCGGGCATGCTGTTTCATGAACTGATTTTATCACCTGTACAAGAGCATTTTATAAATGTTCTCACTAAGAAACCAAATAAATAAGTGTATAGTCAAATTAATGATTGGTTATATTCATAAGGATGAGTTTATTTACATTATTTTCTTTACTGTGACCGCATTTGTCTTTTCTTGTCCTTTTTTATCTTCATTTCTTCATGCGTGGCACTTGAACAGCCTTCTATAACTAAAATATATTTGGAGAGCTAAAGTGTGGAGGAAGATAATTTTGGGGTAAGGGCATGGTACTGTTAACACTGTTGATTCTCTGGCCCCAAAGATCTTTGGGATTGTTTATTGTTCATATGGTAAATTTCTGATGCTCCACTTCAAAAATCTGAGGCCTGAACCCTTCTTTGCTATGTCTAAGAAAAGGAAGTCACTATATAATAGGCTGAATAGTCTGGAGCAAAAGGTCACCCAATATTACATGTGGTTGTTTGGGACCAAAGCATGGGAAAAATCCTCCCAAGCAGTGTTAAGTTGTCTGCCCTTTCATTGGGGGGGGGTGTGTGTGTGTGTGTGCAACTTTAACCTTAAGGGGATTCAAGCACAGGTATTGAAAGAGGAAGAGGACTTTTAAGGTGAAATGAGATCTGGAAATGTTTCAAAGATACCCTAAACCAGACAGGAGAAAATCTGTTTCCAATAATAAGAATTTTGAGGCTTAAAAGTGATGGCGCAGAATGAAAAACATTTTTTACAGTTCTGAAGTACATAACGAAGCAAGGCAATGGTTCAGGTGAAATGCAACATAATTTTCATAATTATTTAAGTGTGAAAGCACATAATTGAGTTCATTCATGGCCTTTCAAGTGACAGTGTTGGGCATTGGAAAAACCAAGAAGATATTTGTCTGATTTTTCAGTATTATGCCATATAAATCTGAGCAAGTCATTTAAATTGTTCAGGGCCTACATAGGTACAAAATGAAGAGGATTCTAACACTGTTAACATAAGAAGGAATGCAAGGTTTGTGATTATTTCTGATGCCTGGTGTTTTCATTGTTGTTTGAGCTCTTATGCTTTGAAAGGGTATATTCTGTTTACTGTGATAGTGTCATTCATTTACTCATTTGTTCAGTCAAAGATAGTTACTAAGTATTGACTAAAGAGCGTGGCTATTCTTGCTATCAGAGACTACTAAGATAAAGTTTCCAACCTTTAAAATATTCATAGTCTGCTGAATGAAGCAACAAACCAAAATTAACGGCCCAATATAGTAAGGGTTATGATAAAGGCACACCAACATTTCTATGGGAAGTCAGAAGAGGAGCTTCTAATTTTGCCTCAGAGAGACTGGAAGGCTTCATAGAGGAGGTGATCACTCAACTAGATTGATGGTAAAAATGGGACCACTTCAGTTTCTTGCAGATAGACCAAAGATTGCCACAGGAGAACTGAGTTAATTTGTGCTGTAAGGCTCTTGGCTTTAAAACATTCCTTTTTTTGTGTGGCTTTAAAAATTTGCATTATTGTGAAGTTCTGCTTCTGCCTATTGGTTTTGATATTGGGTTTTCTTTCTTGTCTTTTTTTATGTTACATGGGAAGGAAAGGGGAAACAGTAACTACTAAATATGTGGTTGATATGACTACTCGCTACCTATTCAATACCTCTATGTTTTGAATGGTGTGTATGAGTGCATGCATATGCAAGCTCATGTATGATAAAATAAACATAAGTGAATATGTGAGACTTTCATGATAATCTTTTGAGATAATAGGAACGATGCTGGAATAACAAACTCAAATAGGGAAACCTCCACTCAAATTGTTTTAAATATTTGATGGGATTCTAGGGCTTTCCAAGAACAGCTAAATATATAAGCATTTTTTTCCTTTCTATTATAGAATAGAAAGCATCATGTTAGAAGGATTCTCTTTCTAGCAGGTGTGACAAAGAAACAGGTAGCAGGAGGGCTTGGTACATAGAAAATATTTGAAACAAAATCAGAATTTAATGACCTAAGCCAGTGTTTCTCAAACTATAATGTGCATAAGAACCACCTGGAGAACTTGTTAAAGTACAGTAGGCCTGGGGTTGGATTGATAAATTTTCATTTTTTACAAACTCACAGGTGAGGCTGATGCTGCTGGTTGAGGATCACACTTGGAGAACCTCTAATCTAGACCAGTGCTTCTCAAATTTAATCTGTATATGGAATCACCTGGGGATCCTGTCAGATTGAAGATACTGATTCAGTAGGCTGGGGTACATAGGAAAATTTGCATTTTGAACAAACTCAAAGGTGATGCTGATGCTGCTGGTCTGCAGATCACACTGTGAGAAGCAAGGCCTTAGGTGATTTCCTACATTATGAGTCCAAGTCATGTGACATGGCCTGGTGATTTCAGAAAATAGTAAGATCAAATAACAACTTCAAGTTCATTTCCTAAGCAAATAAGATTGTATCTTTACCAAGAATTAATTTTTTTTATATATCATGTGAATAATATTACAACCCCACTGAGAAGTATTTCCTAATCTCCTGTTCCCCATATAAAATACTTGCCCTAGTTACTGTAAAAGTTAGGTGAAACATAGGTTTCTTCTTTTAAGTAGCTTCTATAACTACCTTGGCCATGTATTAAATGCATTATATTTCTCTAATTGTGATAAGTTGTGTGTGAGTACATAAGGTAAAAATGGATTGGTCTAATATGTCCAAAAGAAAATCTTAGAAATAGTACTATTCAAGTTGTGTTATTTAGCCACCCCTCTTGTTTAAAAATTCTGTTTAGTTAGACAAGTTCTATTTACATAAAGCAGAGGTTGAACTAAATCTAGTGAAGTGAGCTGGAAAATATACTATTTTTGATCAGATAACAGTCCCTGGTGGATTATATGGATGTGGGTGTGAAAGAGCCTTACTGATAGGTGTTGGCTGTCTTCAACCTACATTTTCTCAGTAATTGATAATTCTCCATTCCCTCTCTTCTGTGTAGACCTTTTAAAAAATAAGGGAGTGAAGTAATGGTAGTATATTAAGGGATTTGAAGTACAAATTTCCAAGAGAATATTCAAATAAAAAAATGCAAGGGATAGAATCTGTAGTATATACTTTGGCCAACTTTGAGTCATTTTAGGCACCCTAGGGAGACATATATTTATATTCTCCTTACGCCCCTCCACAAATTTTCAAGTGATATGAAAGTGTTAAATTCAATGACTCAACACAGTTTGAATAAATTTCTCAATTCTCAGTTTGTTTATTGTTTTGGTGGACTTGATCAAATATGGGTAACTGATCATGTTAATGCAAATGCCCAAACCCTCAGCCAAATAAATGTAAATATACTTAAAGTATTAATATAATTTTTAACAATTTTTTTGTCTGGGGTATGTGATTTTTGTATTATCATTTCTGAGGCTAAACGACTGTCTTTATAACAATAATAGATGGTCCAGTGCTTTTGTCATTTCTACTCCTTCCCATTTTCCAAGTATATTAATTTCGATCCACTCACCAAATCAGACTATTCCAGGAAAAAATTTTACTTGCAGGATATTTGACTTCTTAAAACACTGCACTTATGTCTTACTATCTAACCAAATGAAGTTTCAAACAATATAATTTTAAAATGTAGATGCTTGGGATAGAAGAGCAGTGGTTCTTAACCTTTTTG